CTGACATTGACCAGCATTTGTTTCTTTGTAGCTGGGGCTTTGCTGATTTCTTCCTTGCTGGTTACTCTGCTGCTGTCATTGCTTGTATTTTCAGATAATCCGCCTTCTTGACATACTTCTGTTTCCTGGAAATTCGGACTGAACTGTTCCAGTTCATCTTGCTCATTGTCAGTAGTTGTCAAATCACTTGAATGCTTCAGTAAATTGGGGTCATTTTCTAGGTGACTGGAATGACTAGTAACTTCCAGTTCATTGTTTGAATTTTCTGGAACAACAGATTCATTGCCTTGATTTTCAGAAACTGGTGCAGAATCTTTCCCTGCTTTCACAAAAGCTTCCATAAAATCTTTGGAACTCGTCGCAGCTTTTGCTCGTTTCGCTGCCAGTTTTCTAAATTGGGCGCCACTTGATTTCTGTCGCTTCATTTTTTACTATATGGGCGCATGGGCAGCAAATAGCAAAGCACCCAAATTGGTGAACACAAAACGCAAACTAGCTGATGAACACAAATTCTTGAACGATTGAATGACTCAATCACTGAATGACGGGCTGAACGTAATAAATATTCCGGGATTTCGTCACACTGGTGTTCACTGCTGCAAGCTGCGAGCCTGTGGCATAAACCGTTACTAGAGTACTGGATGTATTGATTTTCAACCCCGCCTTTTTTCACAGGAGAGTTAGGATTCGTGTTGGAACTTGACTGAATAAAATGACTCGTGACTGCCGTCTCTCAGCATATGTCGCTTGCAGAGTGGTTTACACGTTTAATATCAGTCATAACTTGCTCGCAAAGGAAGTGAATATAGCCCCAGCACTACTAACCGAGCTACCAGCATGCGTCATACCGGATACATATCAATAGTAAAATTGTATAATTTAGAGCCTGTGGCATAAACCGTTACTAGAGTACTGGATGTATTGATTTTCAACCTCGCCTTTTTTCACAGGAGAGTTAGGATTCGTGTTGGAACTTGACTGAATAAAAAGACTCGTGACTGCCGTCTCTCAGCATATGTCGCTAGCAGAGTGGTTTAGACGTTTAATATCAGTCATAACTCGCTCGCAAAGGAAGTGAATATAGCCCCAGCACTACTAACCGAACTACCAGCATGCGTCATACCGGATAAATATCAATAGTAAAATTGTATAATTTTTTATTTCCCCAGAAATGCTATTTGAGTCAGTTTTGCCGCCCTCAGTTCAGAGGGCGGCAAACGGGAAAAAATCGCCAAAATGGGCATTTTGCCAGTGGGCGGCAATATGGGCAAAAGGAAAAAAATTCCAAAAATTTTGCTTCTTTGAAATAAAATTTTTTTGAAAGGCTATTTTGCCGCCCTCTGGACTGTGGCGCCCGGGGCGACCGCCCCACTTGCCCCCCCCCCCCTAGTTACGCCACTGTCTCGCAGATCTAATATTCCGCTTCAACGTCCGCGTGATCATCCTATATACCTCATAGTCCGTATATCCGTAGTCATAGTCATATCTCCCGTCCGCTTGTACGCATCCTATTTCCGCTTTTTATCCCTGATGAGAGCTTTGATTTTACCCGTAAACCAGACCTGTTGTCGGACCGATTTCATGGACTTCTTGAGGATGCATTCTTTCATAAAATCTTGCAATAACGTCTTGAACCATTGCTCCTCTACCGTCAGCCCACGGTACCGCACCGCCCAGTCGATACCTGAAACGCATTCACGTAACCTATCAAAATTAGCTTTCTTATATTGTACGAAACCTTCGCCCGATTGACGTTACTCTTCGTTCGATTGATATTCCACGCAATCGCAGAGCGGTCTAAATCTCCCAAGTTAACCTTAACGTCTTGTGCCCGATCGTCATTCCTCGCGAAAACCAAATCCAATAAAGCTTCCTCACGAGTCAATTCTCCTACGTGCTGAACGAGAAGCGCATCCTGAACCGCAACGAGAAATTCCCTATCCTTTTCACTCCCTCCTCGCGGCACCGACCAATCTATATTAGGCACGTTAAATGCTTCGAGATCTCGCTGATCCTACGCATCAGTGCAAAATAAGCTGCTTCGTCCTCTCTTAGGGGCCTATGGCAAATTCCTAGCACGTTCTTCCCAGTTGTTCCACCGATCTCGCACCATAAGTGTTCGATTGCGCCACAGTTAGCCGAGGTGAGATCTCTGACTCGAACGCCCAGTTCAGTTCTAGCGTGCAACATGACTCCTCCCCCCTTTCTACCAGGCCTATCCTTCCGCAAGATGTCGTACCCTTCGATCTCGAATTCCTTATCAGAAATGTGAGAACCACCCCAAGTCTCGGTTATTCCGATGACATCGAAACCGTTGTCCAGTGCCCTCCCCCTGAGCTCATCTATTTTATTACGTAAGTTGCGTGCAATCGGGTTGAAACACTTCATTCTTCCCTGCCTTTCCTGCTCACCAGTGCACGGCGGTCTAAAGCTGCTCTGTGAAGTCCTCCTCGAGCCCCGCAGGGAATGGCGTAATGATTACGGAGGGAAGAACCTCCTCCCTCATACGCATACGTACGCCAGGACATCCTATTTCCCTGAGCAGTCCCTCGGCAGTGGGTCGCCGAGCGCCAAAGTGAGTGGACGCACGGACGATACGCGTGAAGCCGTGCCGAGCCTTCACGCAGCTGCCGCACAGGACCGTGCGGACTATTAGAGGAACTGTGGTGACGGTGGGTCCCCCACCGGACAACTAGGACGTACGAGGACGACCCTGAGGCTCCCCCATCAGCGTGAGGCTGTTATTTGCTACTATCGTGAGGCTGTTATTCACCTATCCCTGTTGTCTTCTTGTATAATAAATTGTGCGTAGTGTCCGATTACGCACCTTTTTATATAAACCCGGAGTCCTGAGTAATTCAAAGGAGTCTACACCTAGGAGTCAACGATTACTATTGGACGGGTTTCCTGCTGCCGATCACAGAGGTCATTTTGTTGTCTTGTATAATAAACTGTGCGTAGTGTCCAATTACGCACCCTTTTATATAAACCCGGAGTCCTGAGTAATTCAAAGGAGTCTACACCTTGGAGTCAACGATTACTATTGGACGGGTTTCCTGCTACCGATCATAGAGGTCTCTCTTACGAACCTCTCCGAACATCGCAACCTTCGCAGATAACATCTCCAGATACTTTTCCTGGTAACTCTCTGGAGATCCCCGCACTCCGGAAACCCCATTCTGTAGGCACCCCCAGAGGATTAGTACTACAATTTACACAGATAAGACACACTTTCATGCATATCCGAAATCAGGCCCAATATCTTGGAATCGTGCAAAAGCACGATGGCCACCGTTCATTCTTCGTTTGGTAACGCGTTTATCTCATGTAGGGAAGAACTGTTTCTGAGGCGGCCACGCGAGCACTTAGTTTTGCGACGATGTTCGCTCTAGTGAACAGACTTGGGTGATTTTACCCTACTTGATCTTTTTTCCACGAACGTCACCGAGGAAGGGATTAGAATCTCTGGACGCATTCGTCGAAAGAGGTAACCCAACCGAACGATACCCAGGGTAATTCTGATTTCGAGCCTGGGAATCAAGAGAGGAAAGTTCTCGTGGCGATCCGATTCCATGGGACTCCCCTGCCCGATCAGAGAGAGAACCCCTAGGCATAGCCCCGCGGATCGCAAGGGAGGATCTTTGGAGTGAAGTGCAGTCATAGTATTCACCTCTCGTGTAATTTTTTGCCCCTCTTTAATGCCGACATTGAATCGATGTCGACACGAAGAATATATACAATGTTAAGGTGGCCAGATTTCTGTGTCTCGAAAGCGGGACGCCCAATAAATACTTCCCTCGCCTCTTTAAAAAAATATGAATGGATTTGTTGCATTGACAATTATATTTATTATTGTTGAAATATGAACAAGAACTGCCCAGAAAATACGAGTATATTTAATTCATATCAACTTGATGTGGACAAATCTACAACAGTAAGTGGATGTGACGTAAAACTCACCTTCATATTGGCAAGTTATTGTATCAATAACTTGTCAATTGTGTACCTCTCCATGAACATCAATATTAACGTGAATTTAACAAGAAATTCATGCTGATATTTACAAGGTCATTGTATCAATCACCTGTCAAATTTGTACCTCTTCTCCAACATTAATATTGACGTGGGTGTTACGTCAATTTCACGTTAACACTTGCAAGGCCCTTGTCAATAACTTGTCAAATGTATATCTCTTCACCGTAAACCTTGACCAGGATCAAAGCGGATTTTCATGTCCACACATCGGTGAACACACAGTGATATGCAAAATAAGGCTTTCATAAAAGAAATTAAAATCAGCACAAATGGGCCTCAAAACAAACAGTATCCGAGAAGGCCTGTGTTGAATGATTTGATTGGTTCCCATTATCATTTTCTCAAGGTGGCAAGTTTCATAAAAGAAGTTGTATTCATTATAGACTGCCAAGTCTAATGCCAGCAAATTAATGAACATCTGTATATTTCACAGATGTGATAGATACGTCACAGGTTCGGTGTGTGCTGTTACTGTTTCTCTTCGGAGGCTGGCTCTTTATTATTATTATATGATACCGATCCCTGTGCAATAAGATTAGGGGATGTCAGTGGTAGCGGGTGATTCGGACTCAGGCGGTCCCGATCTTTCTGTTCCACGGCCTTAGTGTTTTACAAGGAAGGATTCAGAAGTCAGTCACTATACACCCTGAGCCTTTTAATCACCGAGTATTATTATATCAACAGAGTAGTTAAACAATAATGTAAATATGGAAAGAAAACACTTCTCACGTCCTTGGTTGTAGTGAAGGGAGTCAGGACGAGAATGCCCCTCACGAAGGGAAGGCGCGTAGTGCTAGTCTTCTGTACAACTGTTCTGGAGGTACGCCCGGTCTGGAATTCTTAGACACCACTGTCCTGTGTAACTGTCTGGCGTGGAATCCCCCTTCCAGTGCGGCTTCGGACCCCTTTTAAAGCTGGTTCATGCCCTCGGGCATATTTCAAGCCCATCACAGATACATAATACCAAGGATTCATAATTTTTTATTTATTCTTCTTGAAAATCAGTTTTGAACAAGTGAATCACAACAAATCACAATTGTGCACATTCCTTCTGATGAAGGTGCTGCTTAGCCTGACGAAGCCAGTCACCAACAAAGATGGTTCTCTCCTGTTGAGACATGGAAGCAGCTTTCTCACTGCAATCAATGGCTTCTGCAATATAAAAACATTAACTCAATGAAATCATTCAATCATTTGAAAGAGTTTAAATGGTTAATGTAGAATTGACATTTATGGAATGAGAAATCCAATTGCACTTATCACATGAATTTTCAATAAACATACTTGATATGAGGTCAAAGATGCCCAGTTCTGTAAGGGCCTGCTTCTCCTTGTGTCTTGTGGACTTGCAAGCAAAGTGAAGGGCAGCTCCATCATCCATGAGTCGATGCATGAGAGTTGAGACTGCTTTCTTCCCTTCCAGATTTCAGATAGTAGATGGCAGAATAGCAATCTGGAACAAAAGAAATATAGTAAATATCTTACTAAGGAATAGAGAAGTGGTAACATGGAGATTCACAGATCTATGGCATACACACAATGCCTACTCCAGGAGAAATTTTGGTGTGCACCACTCCAAGGGAAATAAATTCACAAATTGAATCACTAATTTTGTGACATAGGTTTGATTGGCAATTCAAAGAAAAACAATAACAACTATAAGAACTGAGGAGAATGCATAGCATGGAAAGGATACCATGCTTAACAGCCCTCAAAAGTCTATGTCAAGCAAGTGTGAAACTAATAAAGACCACGAGATATCAACAAACTGAGGTTATGCATAATTGGATGTTGTAAGCAAATCACACTGGCTATGTTGGACTAAGTGCAACAGGAGAGTGTTAAAAGATTTAATCAGGGTATTGAGAGTGATGGTTGGGGCTTTCAACTAATGTGCTGTTGTTTCTCTGTAATTTTCCCCTATTATTTTGGGGTGGTATCCAAAAATGGATGTTCAGAATGGCTTGTACTATGTTGAGAATGGAGAGGGAATCTAGTTTCCAATTGCAGAAGTTTGATTGTAGTTCAAAAAGCATACCTCAAAAGGAAGGAAACAGGAATTTTAGCTTGTTATGAGCTGTACACTACAATTAAGTCTTGTTCAGCAGAGTTTTGAGATGAAGTAGCAGCAAGCACAAAAGGAAATTCAAGAAATTACTCACTGATTCTTCTCGATACTCCTTGTCTGCTTTGATGCAATTGGAGAACAGTGACATTTCTTCTGGTGTTTTAAATCTGAGATTCACATTACCCACAAAGGAAGAGGTTTTACTCCTGAGGCCAAAGTGATTAATTAGTGACTGGACTTGTAGCTCCATCACAATTAACCTTTGTCCTTGTTCGTGCTTGACATCCTTCATCATGGCCAACAAAATGCTGTGACAGGTGCACTCACAAGTACCAGAAAAGCAAATAAAGAATGAGAAATTGATGAATTCACATACCACATGTAAAAATTCAAGTTCCACATTAGATTGTGAAGGCTGCTTAGGAATGTTGAACATCTCTCAGGTGCTTCAAAATTACAGACCAGTAACTCACAAGATGGTTTTGAGAGACTTGGTTGCTGTGATGGACGAGGAGAATTGAGAATTGGCTCAAGAATACGCTTTGAAGCATGGACTTTTATCAGGCCAGAAGTGCTCCAGAAACTTGCACAAGAGGGATTGGAATGTGTTTGTGTTGAGGAAGATGATGGCAACAATTTATTGGCTTTGGAGCCAAGCCAAGGGATTGAAGTTACAGCTTTGAGTTTAGTGACTTCCTCCTCCTCATCAGATGGCTCAAATACAAATGAGCTGCTCAGTGAGTCACCATCATCTTCATCCTCAGCTTCAGATGAAGGTGGATATGGGATAGAAGGTGACTTGCGTTGTCACTTAGGAAGATGCTTTTTTTGGCTTCCTCTCTCCAGATAATGAGGTCTCTTTCTTTTTTCATAATCAGTAGTGGCCACATCACTACTCTTCTTGAGCTTCTTAACCTTTGCAGAAACCTGGTCCTTGTTTGCTGCAATATAATATGCAATACAATAGAATTCTATACATTTCGATCATGAAAAAGTGTTGAAAGACAGGAGGGCAGTATATATACTATTACTTTCTTTTAGGGTAGAACACTAACTGGTGCACTAATTCATGGGATTCACTTACAAATTTTTTCCCAGAAAAATGCATGACTAAGTGAAAATGGACAAGTTCAAGTCTGAGCTGACCCAAGATCACATGATACTGAATTTTCTTTAACATCAATAACACCATATTGTAAATTGCCAAAAAAAAACACACAATTATGTGTAAGTTGAAACTTGGACAGGGATATGCTTACCAAGCTATGTACATCACAGTCTTAAAAGTTACAATTGGACCCTTAACCAAAGTTTTAAACAAATACTATAACTGTACTACTTCTCCATTCTGCACTTGGAAAACTCCATTTTGTCTGGTCGCCTCAAGGCATTGCAGTAAGCTCTTGCTTTTGTCAATTTGCAGGAATACCAACAAGTTTGGTCATCAATTACCCAAAGTTGAGGGATGATGTCACAGGTATCATCAGGGAAAATAATGGCATGATAAAGCATATGCTTTGCTTTCATTTTCAGATCTGAAAACATCTGGTAATATGGGAAACATATCACAGCAAATCAGAAAGAAAATACTAACCTAATACAATGAATTTGGAGTGTAATATACTAATTAGCCCTTTGCACCCCAAAGTCATAAGCCTGGTGTGACATTGCACATTAACACTTCTACTCCCTTGTTGCAGCTGATATGCCATACAATTTTATTCAAATTTAGAGCTTTTTGAAAATAGTAGTTGTAGTGGCAGCCAGTAACCTGTTTTTTATGCTACATTTTCTTTGTAGAGTTATATGGAAATTCATATTTAGTGCTGGATTGGAAAGGGTTAAAAGAACTGAATGAACTCATCACAAGTGCCATGATTACAGTGACCCTAGTGGACTTAGGAATTTGGCTGGCAACAGTCCAAGTGTCAGGAGTATTACTTCATGGCATTAACCCTAATCCGGGCAAGGTGAGTCCGCTGGACTCACGACATATTTCGGTCTATTACTGTCATTATTTTTTTAAACTATCAGGGCCATTGAATAAATTTAAATTGTCTGTATTATTTTAGTTACAGTACTGTTATTTATAAGAATACATACCGTAACCACAGCAAATGGCCTTATTTTACATGAGTCTGACAGACTCACCTTGCCCGGAATAGGTTGTAAAAAAGCTTGCCCGGATGACGGTTAACTATGTATATGGCTTTCCCAGGTTAATGCATGGGAGTATTAAAAGGTGCAGGTATAAATAGCTTACAAATGATCTCCATGTAACATAATCCTTTATACAGGGTGGGGCAGGTAAATTGGGACAAACTATAATGGAAATTAAAAAGACATGTTTTGCAAGCAAAAATCAATATACAGGGTGCATAAGAAGTTCTGTTACAAACTTTGGACTCACATAGAATGTCTCCCGGGTAGAATCTTTTACAAGCCTATGGGCGTGTGACTTGTATGGACATGTAGCTTAAAGTTGCAGATGAAGCAATGGTCTCATCAGTTCTTATCATTTTTTGTGCCAAAATGAATGCACAACGTGCAGCCATCATTGAGCTTCATCTCAGCGGAAAAACACCACCAGAGATATTCAAAGACCTCTCAGGCCAAGGCACGAATCGTATGCTCATTCATCGCACCATTAAACGATATCAGCAGACCCACTCTATCCAGGATCGTGAGAGAAGTGGACGCCCAATGTCTGCTACGGCTCCAGAGATGGTGAAAAAGGTGGCTCTCCGAATTCAACGGAACCCCAGGCGTTCCATGAGGAAGATGGCCAGGGAAATGCACATATCAGAGGGATCCATGAGAACTATTGTCAAGAAACATCTTCATCTGAAATCTCTCAAACGCAAGCATGCGCAACTGCTGCCACCTCGCACAAGGCAGTTGCGACTTCAACGAAGCAAGGCCCTGCTGCAGCGGTTCAC